CAATAGTTATTTAACTACAATAAATCTGTAATGATGGTCATGAAAAAACCTCTGTTTATGAATCCAAGTGCTGTGTTCCTATTCCTCAGCTTCAGAGAAAAACATGATGAGCGGCGGTAGTATACTGCCATTTGATGCACATTTTGCTAATAGTATTCAACAGTGCAAATCTCAACCATCACAACTCCTAAACCTTCTTTATCCAATTAGCCGTGAGAGTGAGTTCAAATATGAGAGATTGCAAACTAAATCCAGACTAAATCACTAGATGACATGATTGTAATTACAGCGAATCAATAGGACAACATTTATGTTTATGAAATGGATTTGAAAGATTTGAGTTTTGTTCGAGTTAACCGTCATTTAATCGTCATTTATCCTTTTCTCTCTGGGTGTCTGGGTCTATTCAATTTCCTTTGAAAATACGAACAGTGTGTTTGTTTCAATTAATTGACAATCAAATTTTAACATGATTAAGAAAATGGATTCGATCTGTGGCACTTCGTTTTAATGAAATTATGTCGGTTTTTCGAAGCGACATAGTAACAGAACTAGTACGTAATGGGTATATTTAACTATATAAGTATACGAATGTTGTCACAGTATGAAATTCTTGCGAATTAGTGCTTAACCGCCTATATTTTTTAAAATTTAGAATAATGAAACCCCTTGTAGCAACCTCAATGAAAACATGAAAAACCGATGACTGATTGAACATTCGTTTTAAGAATAGGCAGTGTATAAGAATCTACTGTTGGTGAAAGCTGTTTATTACGGAACAGAGTATAACATAATATTGGATCACTGAGAGTGGTAGTCACATAGGGCTCGACCATCACTACAAGATTGCAGAAACATGATAGCGGTTACTTAAGAACGGTCAATCAATGTTGATAGCTTAGTCCTATAGGAGAAAACCAGTAGTCCAAACAGCGTCGAAGAAGTCTCTGACTCGGACACTGGATAGAGTAAGTTTGAGTTGAATCATGTGTGAAGATTTCGACAAAGATTTATAGGGAACGTTGCTGGTTAGTTCAAACTAAATAAAGATATGTAGATTTACAGCCTGTTGCTCAAGTCTTAAACTTATTAACGGGTCATGTAGGAGAGCACTGCAATGCCTAAATATCATATTTCGGTCACTTCTCAGTGGTCTTGAGCTCCCTTTGTATGAATGGCTAGCGGATAACTGTTGACAGTCATTCTGTGACTAACAATCTGGAACCTGGAACAAATGCACGTCAGATGCTAGTGTGAGCATGCAGACAGGAAATTACCAAGTTATGTGTGTTAACAGGTTATTGTTTATAAATCTATTCGATTCGGAATAACACCTGACTGCGTCGCAACGCAAGCCATCTCTTGGAATCTTCAACGCCGAATAAAGAGAAGAGCAAGACCAAAGAGAATGCAGGTCGGTGGACTATGCTCCATCTGGAGTAACTGGCGTAAGTAAGTAAGTGAGTAATCTCATAATCTTTTCCTTGAATTTGATTTATTCATTCAAATATATAACTATAGAAAATGAAGAAAATTTATTGAAATGAATATTCTTCATTCATAAGATCAACATTTCAACCATAGTGAAATATACTACGATAAACATTGAAATACTGTTCATCATTAATAATGAGATGATAATAGATTATTATGAATAATTCTAATTATATCATAGTTCATCTCATTATATACTAATTACATCGTAAAAATACATTAAAGAAGAAAAAATAATAATAATAATAATAATAAAATGGAATTACATAATGATGATATTAGATTATTTGAAGGGGTAAGTGAAATATTTAGTTTATAATGAGTGTGAATGAACTTGGACAAAGTTTTCTTTCTGTTTTCTTTCTCTTTTTGTTGTGGTTATTGTTATTTTTAGTCTTTTGAAATTTTTCCGTTTAAATATTTTATAGACAATAAGATAAATCGGTAATTATTGACACAGAATTCTTTGACATTGATCCAATTAGTGATTAGACATCGAGTGAATTTAAAGCAGAAAGGCGAATGTGTGTATGCGAGCAAATACAGAGGTGAATTTATAGTCAAATTGAATAAAGCCCAGCTAGGCAATTCAAAGGTTAATAATAGGATACGAGGTTATTGGGAACGATATTTGAGTCATATGTTGATCTTGTTAGTTATTCGCTTACCAGTCTTCATTGTTTTTTATGTGAGCGTATGTGAGTGTACTCTTCTTATCCCATTTCTCATCACATGTCTGTAGCTTATTCTTGTCTGCCTATAAATATTGGCTAACGCCTGACTAAAAATGAGTTGGTTTACCAGCCGTTTACACTCTGCATCGCTTCTCTTCCTGCTATTCCATTCGCCTTATATACAAAGTATATGTATTCAAAAGTCCATTCTCGTTATTTGACTTATTTGATTCCGTTATTGACTAACGTGATTAAAGTCGACGATAATATACGAGAGTCGGCGATGGCAAACATCCGTACGATTTAAATAGGAGTCAGATCCACGGGCCACTAATATAGTGAGCCCTTCAACAAACAACGTCCGATTTAAATGAAGACAAAATTAAATTGCGGGCCTCCACTAAAGATTCATTGGAGTCGGCCTACTCAGGAGTTCCTCGAAGTACTATACCCAACTGTTCTGCTGTTGTTGAATTTCAGTGATTGGCCTGCCTTCTTTGTTCTTGACCGATCTCCCTGGTTAACTGTATTTCCCTGATAGTTTCCTCGTTGTATCGTAAAGCTGTTTCATATTTACTTCTCTAGCTGCTTTTTCCGCCGTCGTTGCTAGTTCTTCCACGTATTTCTTCTTGTCGGTTCTAATACTTTTCTTCACTTGCTTGTTTGCTTCTATGTATTCAGCTTGTGCTTGGACTTTCTCTGCTCGTGTTCGGCTGTTGTTTATTGCTGCCCTCTTGTTCTTCCTTTCTTTCATCTTGTCCAGTGTTTCTATAGAGATCCATTCCTTATGATTGTACTTCTTTAGACCCAGAACCTCTTGACACTTTGAAGTTAATGCTTCTTTGATACTTTTCCAGTCGTCCTCCATAGCAGTTTATTCTTCTTTCAGTAGATCTTATAAGGCTTGGAACCTGTTGTTGAGAGCTATCTTGAATTCGTTGATTTTGTTAGTATCTCGAAGAAAGGTTGCATTGAACCTCTGTAATGCTGTTTGTCCAGTTGTCCAGTTCTTTTTTAGCTTCAGTCTTAAATTGGCTACAACTAGGTGGTGATCTAAAGCTACGTCAGCACCTCTCCTGGTTCTCACATCTTTCATTGTCCTTCGGAATTTTTTATTGATGGAAATATGATCTATCTGGTTCTCTGTAGTGTGGTCCGATGAGATCCATGTAGCCATGTGTATACAATTGTGTGGAAATATTGTGCTTCCTATGACCAATTTGTTGAATGCACACAGATTTGCAAATCTCTCCCCATTTTCGTTTCTCTCTCCCAGCCCATATCGTCCCATGATATCTTCATATCCGGTGTTGTCTATTCCGACTTTGGCATTTAGATCTCCCACCAGAATGGTGAGGTCCTTTCTTCGGCACTTCTCTGCAGCCGCTCGTAGAATTGAACTTTAATGTCGTCGTTGCTATCATTGGTGGGAGCATAATATTGAATAATATTCATTGTGATCCCCTCCTTCTTTGTTTTGAATGATGCTTTGATGATTCTGAATCCGTGAGATTCCCATCCTACAAGTGCATTTCCTGCTACTTTGGACAGCATTAGAGCAACTCCCTGAGTATGTGGAGCATTTTCCTTTTCGTGACCGGAGTATAGCAGCATCTCTTCCGTAGCTAGCCTTTTTTGTCCAGCTTGGGTCCAGTGGGTTTCGCTGATTCCCAGTACTGCCAAGTTGTATCTCCTCATTTCCGTTGCTATTTGACCGGTGTTCCCGGTTTCCCACATTGTTCGAACGTTCCATGTATCTATAGAAATTTTAGCTGTGGTTGTTAGAAGGTGTATCATCCTCGTGGCTTCCGAAGGATCTCGGCCTTCACCATGAAGCGTCATAATTCTTCTAAATGAAGACCTAACTTTCAGAGCAGAGTTAAAATGGTTTGAATAATTTTTTCTGGTAAGCGTTTTTTAGCGAGTTAGTTTTCTACGAGATGAAGACGCTAAGCCCATGTCCAACCCTCCTCCTTTACCCGGGCTTGAGACCGGCAGTAACTCTGGAAGAGCTACAGGCAGAGTTAGACTGGTCATAAGGATAACATCAAATCATCTTTTGTAGTGTTGTACAAAGCCTTGAAGGAGGTATACTAGGGTTCATTGAAGCCTTCACTACACGGAAACTGAAACCCTCTTTGTGCATTCGAAGACAATGTGTCCTTAACACTTAACACCTCCCCTGGTAATACTGATTTATTATCCAAAGTGGTAATCACATTGTTTTGGTTTACCTTAATATATTTTTTCGTTATTACGGCTTACCTTTAACCTGTCTAGTTGACCTTTTAATTTTCACATGAAAATGTCTTAACAAGTACATTATGTGTGATCAGTGTTTTTCGAAATGTCTCACATCTTCTCATTGTATGATCGAAGTTTATCAAAGGGACTAATTGTTTCAAATACTATTTATTTCTTTGTATTTTTGCAGGTATTTGGTACATGTTTAATTGTTATGGGCAGTTATGTACATCTATTTCTGAGTACATTTTTACGTAATATGCCAGTTCATATGTTATCATTGACATTTATCATGATGGCACTTGGATGTCTTCTGTTCTCACTTGGTAGTATTGGTATATTATTCGTTTTCACTGGACGTCGAAGAATTAATGCACTTGTAAAGTTGAATGCTGTTGTGAACTAATACTAATTTTGTTATTTATTTATGATTACAGTATACAGTACTGTTGATAGTGGCTGCATCAACCAGTATCATTGTTATTGTAACGACATCCATTTTGCGCAAAAAGGTAATGGTTTTAATCAAGTGAATGTTTCATACTCATATTATAAACACTTGTTTAATACGGTTTGTTCAATACTTAGATGGGTATGATGTTTCGAGATATCATCAAAGGTTCTATCAACCAGTATACTAGGAAAAATAGTTATGCAGCATTTGTGAACACAATACAATTGCAGGTAAATTACACTTGAAAGAAACTGTTTTGTAATTCATGTGTTTTTCAAAAGCATAAATGTTGTGGTGCAAATTCAGTCATGGATTATACTGTGAGCAATCTCTCAATACCAGTTTCATGTTATCCTGACAAAGCCAAAATACCGCATAAAAAAGTAAGTGCTGATTAACAGTTTTGTAATTCAGATTCAGATTTGTGTAGTAAGGACAGAAGGCCTACGGCCTATGTTGCTCTTTTTCCAGTATGTTTCTATGAGTGTCCAGTCTTTACTTCAGAGTGCCGATTGAAGGTGCGGACATCGCTGCTTCGGGCAGGATGTTCCAATTAATGATGCTCGGTGTGAAAACCTGTATGCCACGGATAGTTTGTTCGTCCTTGTCTTTTCTACTCGCCTGCTATCTCCTCTGAGGTGTCCCCATCTAGTGGGAAGAAAAAGAGAGAATATTTTGGTTCCAAACTCATTTCTCAGCATTCTGTACATCAAAATTAGATCTCCCTTAATCTGCGATAGGGCAGAGCAAAGAGCTCTAGCTTTTCAAGCCTCTCTTTGTGTGATAAACCCCGGGGTTCTGGAATTGCACGGGTAGCTGCCCTCTGTACTTCTCCTAGGATATCCGAGTCACCTTCTAAACAGAAGCTTGCAACCAAAATGAAGTTCTCAAGCTTAGTTCTCACTAGGCATGTGCATACTGTGGTGAACATGGTAGTATCTAACCTAGTGAATGTCCGTTTTAAAGCCCAGAGGGTTCAAAACCCCTTAACTGTGACCTCTCGGCAATGGGCCATCGTCTTAAGATCATGACTCGTTGTCACTACTAGATCCTTATGAGACCAGACAACGGGTAATGGCACTTCCCCCATGTTGTACCTATTAACCCTTGAATCCTCAAAGTGCATTAAGACACACTTCGCCATATTGATAGGCATCAGCCACTCTTTAGACCAGTTAATCATATTATTTAAGTCTACCTGAAGAGCACATGCGTCTGTGTCTCCAGTTATTACTCGCCAGATTTTTACATCGTCAGCGTATAATAATGTAGACCACCAACGTAGATGATCTATGTCGAAATGATTGGAAGCCTACTCGAGTTAGATGTGAATGGTGTGAAGAACCAGCTAACGTCAAAGTCACACCTCATGGTCAGCACCTTACGTGGACTGGCCCATTGACGTATCAAGGTACCATAGATGCTTTGAAGACTGTACAATACAGTGGACGTTATTACAGAAATATATTAGTTAAAGTAGATACAAGCGAAAGTGAGACCACTGCCGCATGGGCCAGTCCATGGCATACGATTAACTGATGCGCGTTGGTTGTCCCTGACCTTGACGAGGATCGATAGTTTGCTCTATATTCAATGGCACGACTGCCGGATGATTTGGCTGGGGCATAGTGAAATTTCGCTGGCCCTACAATAACATTGGAGACTGTACTATAGTTGGAAGATTATTACCATACATAGTGTTTCCTTTGAAACACATTTAATCACAATAAACTATATGTCAACCATATGTAATAACATTATGCTGTTTGTATTTGTACTTGCTGAGATGTCCTAATTGCTACAATTGTGTTATGTTAGTTTATTATTTCTGAAGATAGTACATTACATTTCCGACTATTGTTCATTGTATTTGCACAAACCTGGGACTCCACATCACACTTGGTCTTTGGAGAGAATCGATATGATTTTCTAAATAAAAATAGAAGATACATGAAGAGATGGGTTTGTGTTTTGTTCCGATGTGGAATATCAACTTTGTATTGCTACTGCTGACTTACCTATAATGTTTTGAATTATTTGTGTGACTTCGTGTGACTTATGTGTTGCTTGGCATGAGGCAAGATCTCACAGGAAGCCGTTTCAATGTAGAGCGCATCACAATCGGACAAACCTAATCTGTGGACACGATTTTGTATTGATGTGAACGGGATCTCATCTTTGATGTTGACTACCTTACAGAGAGCTTTATTTTGTTTGTTCTTAACATCCTTTGTATTTCTTCTGTTGTAGATTGACGGTAAGGTGAAACTGCAGTACTAACTCAATATCTTTCACTGGGGTTGTTACTTTAAAAAGGATGGTTATGTTTGAATGTGCTTTCAGTAATATCCTGTAACAATTATTAGATCGAGGATGTTAGTACTAGAAATACTCAGCATTGTTTCCTTTGTACTATTGACAATTATGTGATTATACTTTGGTTATTGATTTGCTCTGAAGAAGTGACATACATTAAGTCACGGTACTTCAGAAATACGATTTCCTACTCACTGGGATTTCACGAATAGTATAATGATTATCAAGTTTCTAATCAATACTCAATTTATTTGAAACTGTCAAGTCCGTTGTTGGGACTAGACTATTATAATTAGATAGAGATGGTTTTCATTTGAACTTGAAAGAACTCTTCTAACTTGAACTAGTGATGTGGAAACCGAAAGTCATGACAGGATTAGAACTAAAACTTGAAATGACTGGAGGTACGGAATGAAGATGAGCACTTCTGTTGAATGGTTCATTTGTGCATCGAAAACTGAAAGATATCTTCCTAACAGAAACACTCAGTGATACATAAGTTTACATGCATTGTTATTGGTAAAGGAAAGTTATGTTGAATTAATGTACAAAGAAGTGTAAGATAAAAAGGGTGTTGAAATCAGGAAAATGATACCCTAATTGGTTTAAATGGACAGATACCTGACCACAATCACTCATTCCTAACAATAACACTTTGTCGAAACACGTATCTAAATATTGATGGAGATGTGTTGGATGGTGAGAACCCTTTAGAATTGTCTCCTTAGATGTGTTCATTCAATTTGTTGGACTTTACATACTCACTGTAAACTTCTATGAAAATGTTAATCAAATAAGGAGAACAAGTATGTATATATGTAGTTTTAACATTTTTCTTTTCTTCAGGGTTGTGCGAAAATGCTTAACGCGATCGTCCAATGTCATTTAACTTACATCACTTCATTACTGGTCGTGTTTTTACCGATGGACATAGCCTCAATGGTTTGTGGTATACTTATGTTACACAAAGTGAAATCTGTCCCATGGAAAACAAGATTTGCTCATTGTTGATAGCTTCAATAATACCGTTTAATTGATAATTTGAAATTTATACTATTGTAATGAACCAACAATGAGAATGTAACATTGTTTGAGCATCTTCGATGTAACTGTGAAACACTGTCAGTTGGTTTTGTCGATATCATTTTACATTTGTGGCAACTCTTTTACAATCAAATTCCATTGTCGTTAAATTTTGTTGAGCGCTTTCATTAGCTTAACTAAAAGACAATGTTATTCGAACAGTAACAATTCGTTTATTTCTTTGTACTATTATGACCAGTATCTTGTCTGTATAAACGAGTGCGCTTGTTCACATGATAGCCATGCATATACTTCTCTGGCTAAAATGTTGATGGCTCAAATATCGCTTGATGAATCATTCTGTTCCCCATGTCCTCGAATCCTATTATTAGCCTTTGAATTGCCTAGCTGGGCTTTATTCAATTTGACTATAAATTCACGTCTGTATTTGCTCGCATAATCACATTCGCCTTTCTGCTTTAAATTCACTCGATGTCTAATCACTAATTGGATCAATGTCAAAGAATTCTGTGTCAATAATTACCGATTTATCTTATTGTCTATAAAATATTTAAACGGAAAAATTTCAAAAGACTAAAAATAACAATAACCACAACAAAAAGAGAAAGAAAACAGAAAGAAAACTTTGTTCAAGTTCATTCACACTCATTATAAACTAAATATTTCACTTACCCCTTCAAATAATCTAATATCATCATTATGTAATTCCATTTTATTAATTATATTATATTTTTCTTCTTTAATGTATTTTTACGATGTAATTAGTATATAATGAGATGAACTATGATATAATTAGAATTATTCATAATAATCTATTATCATCTCATTATTAATGATGAACAGTATTTCAATGTTTATCGTAGTATATTTCACTATGGTTGAAATGTTGATCTTATGAATGAAGAATATTCATTTCAATAAATTTTCTTCATTTTCTATAGTTATATATTTGAATGAATAAATCAAATTCAAGGAAAAGATTATGAGATTACTCACTTACTTACTTACGCCTGTTACTCCAGATGGAGCATAGTCCACCGACCTGCATTCTCTTTGGTCTTGCTCTTCTCTTTATTCGGCGTTGAAGATTCCAAGAGATGGCTTGCGTTGCGACGCAGTCAGGTGTTATTCCGAATCGAATAGATTTATAAACAATAACCTGTTAACACACATAACTTGGTAATTTCCTGTCTGCATGCTCACACTAGCATCTGACGTGCATTTGTTCCAGGTTCCAGATTGTTAGTCACAGAATGACTGTCAACAGTTATCCGCTAGCCATTCATACAAAGGGAGCTCAAGACCACTGAGAAGTGACCGAAATATGATATTTAGGCATTGCAGTGCTCTCCTACATGACCCGTTAATAAGTTTAAGACTTGAGCAACAGGCTGTAAATCTACATATCTTTATTTAGTTTGAACTAACCAGCAACGTTCCCTATAAATCTTTGTCGAAATCTTCACACATGATTCAACTCAAACTTACTCTATCCAGTGTCCGAGTCAGAGACTTCTTCGACGCTGTTTGGACTACTGGTTTTCTCCTATAGGACTAAGATATCAACATTGATTGACCGTTCTTAAGTAACCGCTATCATGTTTCTGCAATCTTGTAGTGATGGTCGAGCCCTATGTGACTACCACTCTCAGTGATCCAATATAGGTTATACTCTGTTCCGTAATAAACAGCTTTCACCAACAGTAGATTCTTATACACTGCCTATTCTTAAAACGAATGTTCAATCAGTCATCGGTTTTTCATGTTTTCATTGAGGTTGTTACAAGTGGTTTCATTATTCTAAATTTTAAAAAATATAGGCGTTTAAGCACTAATTCGCAAGAATTTCATACTGTGACAACATTCGTATACTTATATAGTTAAATATACCCATGACGTACTATTTCTGTTACTGTGTCGCTTCGAAAGCCCGCCATAATTTCATTGAAACGAAGTGCCACCGATCAATCCATTCTCTTAATCATGTTAAACTTTGATTGTCAATTAATTCAAATAAACACACTGTTCGTATTTTCAA